GGGAGGCAGTTGACTGGCCAAGATGGGATGCTGATGGGAAAGAGTCTGGAGTATACCCTACCAGTGCCACCTCCAACCTTCAAGACTCTGCTCAGATATTGCCTGCTCTAGGAAGTGTTCATCTAGGTTGTTCCTTTCTTTGCTTCCTTATCACTCTTCTCTGGTGTCACAGGTACCAGACCAGCAGGTATCAAAACATATTGAACTCCCTGTGGATTGGGACTGGAAAGCCAGTGTTTCTAGCCTTGAGAGACAGGCTTATCACATGATGGATGAATAAACATAAGAATACATGAAGGGGACTTCCCTGGCGGTCCAGTGGTTAAGACTCCGCGCTTCCACTGCAGGGGGCATGGGATCCTTCCCTGGTTGGGGAACTAAGATCCCGCATGCCGCGCAGCGTGGCCAAAAAAAGGAATACGTGAAGAAGCAGACCTGCCTGGCTAAAGCAGACAGACCGAGTGTAGGGACTGGGGGACTGGTCTTGATCAGTGTGTGCTGAAGCTGAGGAGAGGAGGCAGAACTGTAGGCCGGCCGCTGGGAAGGGGCAAAGAAGTCATAGGGTCTGAAGCATCTCCCGGACAATCAAGACAGTGACTGCTGAGGGAAAGGGGCTTGTAGTCATATGTCACTGAGATGCAGGGAGCAGTGACGCAGAATATCAAATTTGGAAGGAGCCCCACACTGAGAAAAAAAATCAGATATGAAAACCTCCAGTTTGACAAAGTAAAAGTCAAGCAGGGTGGTCGTTGATATTGCCACACGTCTCCATTTTATAAAATGTTAGTTTTTATCAGTTCATTTAAAATATGATTTGGATCTGATGGTGATTTGCACATCGTTTCTCAGCAGTACACTTGTGTAAAGCAAAGCCCATACCTTCTGAATTCCATTCTCTCTAATAGTGGTGTAAAGTTTGCCCTATTTTGAATAAGCACTGTCTGACAGTTGCAGTGATCTGTGGATAAAACCTGCTGAGGGTAGAGGGAAGCCATGGATTTAATGTTTATTGTGGACTCTCCACCAAGCAAGGTTAACTTTTGTGGTTAACTGAGAACTGTGATATCACGAGATGAGTACCTGGTAGCCTGATGGGTTTTGGGGTATGTGGGCAGGAAGACCAGATGGAAGATGTACCCCCAACTCTTCTGGTTGGTTGTACAGGTCAACAAGAACAAAAAATGGCGGGAACTTGCGACCAACCTCAATGTCGGCACCTCAAGCAGTGCTGCCAGCTCCTTGAAAAAGCAGTACATCCAATGTCTCTATGCCTTTGAGTGCAAGATCGAACGGGGAGAAGACCCTCCCCCAGACATCTTTGCAGCTGCTGATTCCAAGAAGTCCCAGCCCAAGATCCAGCCTCCCTCTCCTGGTAAGGATTGGGTGAGCAGCCTCGCCAAGGCTCACCCTTCAAGGGTAGCATTCAATGGACTTGACACGGGGAGTGGGAAGGGTAAGCTGGGACGAAGTGAGAGAGAGGCACGGACATATATACACTACCAAATGTAAAATAGATAGCTAGTGGGAAGCAGCCGCATAGCACAGGGAGATCAGCTTGGTGCATTGTGACCACCTAGAGGGGTGGGAGAGAGAGGGTGGGAGGGAAGAGATATGGGGATATATGTATATGTATAGCTGATTCACTTTGTTATACAGCAGCAACTAACACAACATTGTAAAGCAATTATACTCTAATAAAGATGTTTAAAAAAATATGAAAAAAATAAAAGGGGTAGCATTCAAGGGTCCAGGTTCCTTATTCACCAGTGCCTGCCACCAGGGATGTGTGCTTTGCCCTGTCCTACCTCAGAGCTTAACAGGTTGGCAGACTAAAGAGCGGGGCGGTGGCGACTCCCTTGGGAGATAGTTTGCAGCAGCCCTTAAGTTTTAATTTTCATTGTGCACCTGGCGTCTTGCCAAATGTTTGTAAACTAGTGAGTGGGAGGGACACCAAAGGAGTCGGGAAATCTGACAAATAGCAGTGAGGCAGGGCCATCTGGGAGCTTTGGCTCACTGATGTCAGCGCCTTAGAATGCAGCTCAGACTAGAGCCCTGAATTCCCCAGGGAGCTGAGATGGTAATGAATGGGAAGGAGGGGGTGGGGAGGGAACATGAATGGAGCTCTCTGCTGGGAGTGCCTCTGCCCACCCTGCTTTCTGAGAGGAGGATGGGGCCTGGACAAGCATGGGGAGGGAAGAAGGCCAGGGCTCCTAGAAGGTGGGTGTAAACACATGCGCCCTGGTGTTGACCTCTGAGGGTATAGTGAGTGCCTGAGATGACTCATCAGCTGGGGAGGCCTAATCAGTGGGATATCTGCTGCTGGGAATGGTAGCTAATGGAAACATTAATTATGGGTAGTTCTGTGCTCATCAGCTTAAGGGAACATTTGAAACTGCACAGTGACACTGGGTTAGATGCTTGAGAATAGGAGTTCCTAGGCTCCTACAGTGTTCTGCAGGTTTGGGGCAAGGTGGAACCTCCCCATCTAGCATTCCAGGGCCTCTTACTGGGAGCTTGTGTACCAGCATGACAATGTGTAATAGGTTAGGTAGGGTCCTTGGGGGGAAGTAAAGAAAAGTAGTCAGGGAAGCTGACAGACTCAAGGAATCACCAGCATGTTGATGGCATCGCCACACCACTCCTGGTCTCCAAATGTGAACAGCAGCAAAAAGCGATAGCGCTCTCAGATTTCCTTCTTTATTACTGGCCTCGCAGATCCTCTCTTGAGAAGGGTTATTTAGGTCTTAAAGAACCCTAGTTCTAGCCTTATAATGATCTGCTTCAAAGAGATCCTAGGGCATTTGTGTGTTGCTGTGAGAGTTAAACACTTTCCTGCTCACCCTGCATCTCTGTCCACAGCGGGATCAGGGTCAATGCAGGGGCCACAGACACCTCAGTCAACCAGCAGTTCCATGGCAGAAGGGGGAGACCTGAAGCCACCAACTCCAGCATCCACACCACACAGCCAGATCCCCCCCTTGCCAGGCATGAGGTAAGGCCTGGAGCAGGGACAGGTGGTTTGGGGGATGCTGGACAGAAGTGCATGAGCTCCTGTGCAGCCCAGGGCAGTCCCTCTTCTTCCTGTCCAACCAGTGACTCCCATGTGCCTTGCATTATTGGAGGAATTCCTTTATTTGGGGTCTAATTGGCTTTCCTCACTCTGGAGCAGGAGCAATTCTGTCGGGATCCAGGATGCCTTTCCTGATGGAAGTGACCCCACATTCCAAAAGCGGAATTCCATGACTCCAAACCCTGGGTACCAGCCCAGTATGAATACCTCTGACATGATGGGGCGCATGTCCTACGAGCCAAATAAGGATCCTTATGGCAGCATGAGGAAAGGTGACCAACTGCTGTTTGCCTTACATCCTTGAGGACGGGGAATTGTGGGGGCGGGGGGTGGTCTTGAGAGTGATTTAAGGTTTCTTGTCAAGCCATCCTCCCTTCTTGTCTCCCTCTCCCTGGCCTCACCTTGTCATCCCTTTATAAGTATGTCTTCTTTGCTGGTTGGGGCCATTGTAGATCTCTGTTAAAGACCTGGTAGTTGGAACAAACCTGAGCTCTGAAGAGGGCCTGGGTCTTTGGGGCAGGCAAGGTATATATAGGCTGCTAGGCCTACTGACAAACCAGTTTGCTCATCGTCTTCCCTTTTGCTCTTAGCTCCGGGAAGTGATCCCTTCATGTCCTCAGGTCAGGGCCCTAACGGTGGGATGGGGGACCCCTACAGTCGAGCTGCCGGCCCTGGGCTGGGAAATGTGGCGATGGGACCGCGACAGCACTATCCCTATGGAGGTCCTTATGACAGAGTGAGGTAAGCACGCCCCACCTCCCACCCCTGTCCCACACCAGCACCCCACAGCTATCATGGGCTCAACCTGCTTCTCCAATTTTGTTTAGGACGGAGCCCGGAATAGGACCCGAGGGCAACATGGGCACTGCAGCCCCACAGCCGAATCTCATGCCTTCCAACCCAGACTCGGGGATGTATTCTCCTAGCCGTTACCCCGCGCAGCCGCAGCCGCAGCCGCAGCCGCAGCCGCAGCCGCAACGGTAAGTAAAGCCTGGTCTCGGTGCCACTGTGGCTCAGGCTTCCCCGCTTCCCACCCTGATCCTCTGTTTCTCTCCTTCCTGCAGACATGATTCCTATGGCAATCAGTTCTCCGCTCAAGGCACCCCTTCCAGCAGCCCCTTCCCCAGCCAGCAGACCACGATGTATCAGCAGCAGCAGCAGGTGAGGAGGGTAGTGGGTGAGCTGACACACAGGTTCCCCCGAGAGCCAGTTAGAAGGCTAAGCTGTGCAGTCTGCGAAGCCCACTTTAGATTCTTTGGTGTTCTTCTCCCACCCCGGTGGCCACTTCTGTCTGAGGAGCCAGGCCCTCAGTCTCTTCCCTGTTTGGAGTCTAGTCCCGTCTCTAGTTCTCCAAAAGGGTTAGAAACAGGCCTTATTTTGATTTTTGAACTTTTCCACATTTTTCTACTTAGAGCAAGGGAGAGCCAGAGGGAATAGAGAATGATTCTTGCTTTCAGAAACAACTTCAAAAGATAACTCAAAGGTGATTCCTTTGCTCCCTTGGAGTCTGTGTCCTCTCTTCTAGAGGGGCAGAAGTAAGCCCAGCAGGTATCTGGTGTAGCATCTGGGCAGCTGTGGGTCTTGTGTCCCTGAGTGCAGAGTATTAACCTTTCCTGTGCTTGTCCCCATCTTAGAATTACAAGCGGCCGATGGATGGCACATATGGCCCTCCTGCCAAGCGGCACGAAGGGGAGATGTACAGTGTGCCATACAGCACGGGGCAGGGGCAGCCCCAGCAGCAGCAGCTGCCCCCAGCCCAGCCCCAGCCTGCCAGCCAGCAACAAGCTGCTCAGCCTTCCCCTCAGCAAGATGTGTACAACCAGTATGGCAATGCCTATCCTGCCACTGCTGCTACTGAGCGCCGACCAGCAGGCGGCCCCCAGAACCAGTTTCCATTCCAGTTTGGCCGAGACCGTGTCTCAGCACCCCCTGGCTCCAGTGCCCAACAGAACATGCCACCGCAGATGATGGGTGGCCCCATACAGGCATCGGCTGAGGTTGCTCAGCAAGGCACCATGTGGCAGGGGCGTAATGACATGACCTACAGTTACGCCAACAGGCAGAGCACGGGCTCTGCCCCGCAAGGTGCTGCCTATCACGGCGTGAACCGAACAGATGAAATGCTGCACACGGATCAGAGAGCCAACCATGAAGGCCCATGGCCTTCCCATGGCACACGCCAGCCCCCATATGGTCCTTCTGCCCCCGTGCCCCCCATGACAAGGCCCCCTCCATCCAACTACCAGCCCCCACCAAGCATGCAGAATCACATTCCTCAGGTATCCAGCCCTGCTCCCCTGCCCCGGCCAATGGAGAACCGCACCTCTCCTAGCAAGTCTCCATTCCTGCACTCCGGGATGAAGATGCAGAAGGCAGGTCCCCCAGTACCTGCCTCACACATAGCACCTGCCCCTGTGCAGCCCCCTATGATTCGGCGGGACATAACCTTCCCACCTGGCTCTGTTGAAGCCACACAGCCTGTGTTGAAGCAGAGGAGGCGGCTCACGATGAAAGACATCGGTAAGGAGACCTCCTTGATTGGGTTGCTTAATCTGCCTCTTTACATCTTGTTCATTGTTCTCTCTCCATCCTGATGTTCTGGATGAATTAAAATCTGGTCCAGTGTTGACTAAAGTAGAGCCAAAGAACTTTGGGTAAGGAAGAAATCAGCTGATGTCAGGCTTTACTAAAGGAATTGCCACACAGTGATGTCCTAAGAGAGCCTAGAAGTCATGAGGGGCAGATGTGTGTCATCTCCCAGATTGGAACTGCCTCTCACCATGTGTTCTCTTCAGAGTAGCCTGACTGATGAGCCAGCTCTGGGGTGGGGGGGCGCCTCCTGCCAACCTGGGCTTGGTGGATGGACGACGTGGAGGTTTATTTCAGGAACCCCGGAGGCATGGCGGGTAATGATGTCCCTCAAGTCTGGGCTGCTGGCAGAGAGCACGTGGGCATTAGACACCATTAACATCCTGCTGTATGATGACAACAGCATCATGACTTTCAACCTCAGTCAGGTGAGTACAGGTGCCCAGGGAAGATTGGGAGGGCCTGGGATCTTCTTGAAGTAGATGATGCTAAGTGACCAGGGAATTAAGCCATCCCTGGCCAACATGGTCTCCTTTCTCTCACTTGCTGTCTGATACCTTCTATGCCAGTACTGTGCCACCAGCCATGGGCCTAGAATACTGAGAACAATAATTGTGTAATTTAGTCAATCAGGATTGACTTCAAAGGGAGAAACTTGTTGGTATTGGTAAGAAATGCAGATTCTGTTGATGTCGGTGAGGACACCATATTTTTTAGACTACCAAGAAGAACCTGTTGTCTCTGTCAGTGAGTAGAGCAGTTTCTTTCTTTTCCCTTTCTTTCTTCATCCACTCCGAATAGAAGAGGTCTTTCTTGATCCCATTTTTCCTAAAGTGTAGAATGGGAAGTGTAAAGAAGTGCACGCTGCTGGGCGGGGGCTGGGGGGGCAGTTAATGCAGAGGTGATTTTCCAGACCTTTTCTCCATAGACACACACCTGGAGTTTTCTTCAGCTGGGAAGAGTTTCTGCTGCACTATCCTACTCTTTCTTTTGATCATCCTCAGCACCTACCAGCCCATCTGTTAAGGAGTTGACTAGGGGGGCATCGTTATTAATCGTTCCCATTTACTGTGCCCTCACTTTGTGCTAGGTACTTCATATTTTCTTTTGTGTCATCCTCACTGCAGCCTTCTGAGGCAGGTGTGGCCTCTTAGAGATGAGTAAATAGGCTCAGAGTCTTATCTTTGCCCAGGTTCACACAGCTGTTAGCAGTCCTTCTGAATCCAAAGCCTGCCTCCCATGAGAAAGAAAAGGAACAAATATTGATTGAGCAATTTCCATAAGCCAGGCACTTGACATATTCCATTTAGACGTTAGAACAACCCTGTAAAGTTTAGGAATGTGCATCATTTTCAGTGGAAAGATAGGAAAGCTACAGCTCAGAGAGTTTAAATCATACAGATAGTTCCTGGAAAAGCCAGAATTCAAACCTGGATCTTTTGTTAAGTCTAAAGCCCTATTTTTTCCTTTCTGCTATACTCTTTAGCCAGAGATTAGTCTGACTGGAGATTAATGTTTTCTGCTAGGAGTAGTAAATGGCCTGTACAGGATCTAAGCTGAAATTTGGGTCTGTCTAGCACCAGCTTGGAACAGTGTTTAGAGAATATAAGCCTCATCCCACTCATTATGTTACATGATGCACAGAGGTCCAGCCTCCTGGAAGAGTTGGGGAGCTTGGGGAAGAGAGCAAATGAACAACTGTCCACCCTGCATTGTGTTGGAAGGTGTTATCCCACCATGCCTAGCCTGGGGCTCCACTTAGCAGTGGAATGTAGAGAGTGTCCTAAGAGGGACAATGGCAGTGACCAACGGGTAGGAAACTGGGCCTGGTGAAGAGAAGCAGAAATTGGTTGAGAAAGGTGAGGCTGAGAGGTGGGTGGCACTGGTAGGTGAGGTGCAGAGCTGCTGGTCAGTGGTCCATCTGCTGAGGCAGGCTTATGTGAAGATTGTTTGGGCAGAAGGAAGAATTTTGTGCTAAGCAGAGGAGAGTTCAAATGACTTGCTTTGTGGAGAGCCTTTGGGAAAGGAGAACTCTGACTCTCCCAGTGATACAGACATCTGACCTCGAAGGGAAGAGGGGAGATTAGATAGAAGACCTTGGCAGGCCTCTCAAGTCAAGGATTCTCTTCTTAGCCCACTTTTCTCCCTTAATTTATTTCCTGTTCTTTCTCTTCTAGCTCCCAGGGTTGCTAGAGCTCCTTGTGGAATATTTCCGACGTTGCCTGATTGAGATCTTTGGCATTTTAAAGGAGTATGAGGTGGGTGACCCAGGACAGAGAACACTACTGGACCCTGGGAGATTCCGCAAAGCGTCTAGTCCAGCTCCTATGGAGGGGGTGGAGGAGGAAGACCTTCTAGGTCCCAAACTAGAGGAGGAAGAAGAGGAGGAAGTAGTTGAAAATGATGAGGAGATGGCCTTTGCGGGCAAGGACAAAGCCGCCTCAGAGAATAGTGAGGAGAAGCTGGTTAGTAAGTTTGACAGGCTTCCAGTAAAGGTCGTGCAAAAGAATGACCCGTTTGTGGTGGACTGCTCAGATAAGCTTGGGCGCGTGCAGGAGTTTGACAGTGGCTTGCTGCACTGGCGGATTGGTGGGGGGGACACCACTGAGCATATCCAGACCCACTTTGAGAGCAAAACAGAGCTGCTGCCTTCCCGGCCTCATGTACCCTGCCCACCAGTCACTCGGAAGTATGTCACAGCAGTAGAGGGTACACCAGGGACAACAGAGCAGGAGGGCCCCCCGACTGACGGCCCTCCAGAAAAACGGATCACGGCCACTATGGATGACATGTTGTCCACCCGGTCTAGCACACTGACCGAGGAGGGAGCTAAGAGTGTAGAGGCCACCAAGGAAAGCAGCAAGTTTCCATTTGGCATCAGCCCAGCACAGAGCCATCGGAACATCAAGATCCTAGAGGATGAACCCCACAGTAAAGATGAGACCCCACTGTGTACCCTTCTGGACTGGCAGGATTCCCTTGCCAAACGCTGCGTCTGTGTCTCCAATACCATCCGAAGTCTGTCATTTGTGCCAGGCAACGACTTTGAGATGTCCAAGCACCCGGGGCTGCTGCTGATCCTGGGCAAGCTGATCCTTCTGCACCACAAGCACCCGGAACGGAAGCAGGCGCCACTGACTTACGAGAAGGAGGAGGAGCAGGACCAAGGGGTGAGCTGCAACAAAGTGGAGTGGTGGTGGGACTGCTTGGAGATGCTTCGGGAAAACACCTTGGTCACGCTCGCCAACATTTCGGGGCAGTTGGACCTCTCCCCATACCCCGAGAGCATTTGCCTGCCTGTCCTGGATGGACTCCTACACTGGGCAGTCTGCCCTTCAGCTGAAGCCCAGGACCCCTTCTCCACCCTGGGCCCCAACGCCGTCCTCTCCCCACAGAGACTGGTCTTGGAAACCCTCAGCAAACTCAGCATCCAGGACAACAATGTGGACCTGATCCTGGCCACACCCCCCTTCAGCCGCCTGGAGAAGTTGTACAGCACCATGGTGCGCTTCCTCAGTGACCGAAAGAACCCGGTGTGCCGGGAGATGGCTGTAGTACTGCTAGCCAACCTGGCACAGGGTGACAGCCTGGCAGCCCGTGCCATTGCAGTGCAGAAAGGCAGCATCGGCAACCTCCTGGGCTTCCTGGAGGATAGCCTTGCTGCCACACAGTTCCAGCAGAGCCAGGCCAGCCTGCTCCACATGCAGAACCCGCCCTTTGAGCCAACTAGTGTGGACATGATGCGACGGGCTGCCCGTGCGCTGCTGGCCCTGGCCAAGGTGGACGAGAACCACTCGGAGTTCACGCTGTATGAGTCACGGCTGTTGGACATCTCGGTATCACCGTTGATGAACTCATTGGTTTCACAAGTCATTTGCGATGTACTGTTTTTGATTGGCCAGTCATGACAGCCGTGGGACACCTCCCTCCCTGTGTGCGTGTGCGTGTGTGGAGAACTTAGAAACTGACTGTTGCCCTTTATTTATGCAAAACCACCTCAGAATCCAGTTTACCCTGTGCTGTCCAGCTTCTCCCTTGGAAAAAAAGTCTCTCCTATTTCTCTTTCCTCTTCCTTCTCGCCCCTTCTTCCTCCCGATCTTTCTATTCCCTGTCCTCACTTTACTCCCCTCAGGACCCTGCCCTATTTGAAAAGACAAAGCTCTGCCTACATAGAAGACTTTTTTTATTTTAACCAAAGTTACTGTCGTTTACAGTGAGTTTGGGGAAAAAAAAATAAAAATAAAAATGGCTTTCCCAGTCCTTGCATCAAGGGGATGCCACATTTCATAATGTTTTTAATGGTTAAAAAAAAGAAAAAAAAAAAAGAAAAAAAGAAACAAAAAAAAAAACAAAAAAAAAACCCTGAAGGACAAAAATGGTGACTGCTGAACTGTGTATGGTTTATTGTTGTACATTCACAATCTTGCAGGAACCGAGAAGTTCGCAGTTGTGGACAAACCCTGTTCACTGGAGAGGCCTGTGCAGTAGAGTGTAGACCCTTTCATGTACTGTACTGTACACCTGATACTGTAAACATACTGTAATAATAATGTCTCACATGGAAACAAGAGAAAACGCTGGGTCAGCAGCAAGCTGTAGTTTTTAAAAATGTTTTTAGTTAAACGTTGAGGAGAAAAAAAAAAAAAAAGGCTTTTCCCCCAAAGTATCATGTGTGAACCTACAACACCCTGACCTCTTTCTCTCCTCCTTGATTGTATGAATAACCCTGAGATCACCTCTTAGAACTGGTTTTAACCTTTAGCTGCAGCGGCTGCGCTGCCACGTGTGTATATATATGACGTTGTACATTGCACATACCCTTGGATCCCCACAGTTTGGACCCCCTCCCAGCTACCCCTTTATAGTATGACGAGTTAACAAGTTGGTGACCTGCACAAAGCGAGACACAGCTATTTAATCTCTTGCCAGACATCGCCCCTCTTGGTGCGATGCTGTACAGGTCTCTGTAAAAAGTCCTTGCTGTCTCAGCAGCCAATCAACTTATAGTTTATTTTTTTCTGGGTTTTTGTTTTGTTTTGTTTTCTTTCTAATCGAGGTGTGAAAAAGTTCTAGGTTCAGTTGAAGTTCCTGATGAAGAAACACAATTGAGATTTTTTCAGTGATAAAATCTGCATATTTGTATTTCAAACAATGTAGCTAAAACTTGATGTAAATTCCTCCTTTTTTCCTTTTTTGGCTTAATGAATATCATTTATTCAGTATGAAATCTTTATACTATATGTTCCACGTGTTAAGAATAAATGTACATTAAATCTTGGTAAGACGTTTGTGAAGCTTTTTATTTTTAAACTGTTTAAAATCTTGACCCTTTTGGGGGTGTTGGGGAGCTGGTCCTGTCCTTGCGAGTCCCCCTTGGTATACTCTCTCCCTAAATGGTGGCATCCTGGACCCTGTCATTTCTGCACCATATTCACTTGACCTTCCACAGGGTAAGCCTGACTTTAAGAAAAGCTCTAGAGATGATTTTACCTGCAGAAGTTCTAGGCGTAAAAAGCTTGTTAGCCTCTTGAAGGAAAGTGGGTTTAAGTAGCCAAAGAAATTGATGATACTCTAGGAACAAACTTTTGGAAATAGTTGGCAAAGGGAGGATCTCCGTTTTTCTTAGAAATATTTTAAAAGACCATTATCTGGAGTCAGCCTCCAACTTAACCATTTATTTCTCCAGACCAGCTCTCTTCCCTGATTCCAGATTAGAGCATTCAGCTGCCTTTTTTTTTTTTTTTTTTTTTTTTTTTTTTTTTCAAATGAAATTATTATAAGACAGTTTTTTTTGTTTTTTGTTTTTTTGGTTTTTTTTTTCTTGCGTTATGCGGGCCTCTCACTGTTGTGGCCTCTCCCATTTGCGGAGCACAGGCTCCGGACGCGCAGGCTCAGCGGCCACGGCTCACGGGCCCAGCCGCTCCGCGGCATGTGGGATCCTCCCGAAACGGGGCACGAACCCGCGTCTCCTGCAACGGCAGGCGGACTCTCAAGCACTGCGCCACCAGGGAAGCCCTCAGCTGCCTTTTTAAAAAAATCTTTAATCTATTTATCTATCTATCTATTTATTTATGGCTGCGTTGGGTCTGTTGCTGCGCGTGGGCTTTCCCTAGTTGCGGCGAGCAGGGGCCACTATTCATCGCGGTGCGCGGGCTTCTCATTGTGGTGGCTTCTCTTGTTGCAAAGCATGGGCTGTAGGCGCGCGGGCTTCAGTAGTTGTAGCTCATGGGCTTTAGAGCGCAGGCCCAGTAGTTGTGGCATGTGGGCCGAGTTGCTCCGTGGCATGTGGGATCTTCCCGGACCAGGGCTTGAATTCGTGTCCCCTGCATTGGCAGGCGGATCCCTAACCACTGTGCCACCAGCGTAGCCCTCAGCTGCCTTCTTGACATCTCTGCTTGAAAGTTTAATTTGAATATGCCTAAGATGCCCTGTCTTCCCCTAGAAACCTGCTTCTCCCATAGTTTTCTCAGGAAATGGCAACTCCATCGCTTGGCCAAAAACATCCTTGACTCCTTTCATTTCCACACCCAGTCTGTTAGCTCTCTTCAAAAAATAATCCTCAGTCCAGCTACTACCACTGTAGTTCAAGACACCATCATATCTTTCTTGAACTCAAAATATCCTCCAAACTGGCCTCCCTGCTTCTGCTTTGCCTGGTGTTTGAACCTATTTTCAACATAGCAACCAGAATGCTCCCTTTGAAACCTAAGGTCAGAATCCTTCAGTGCTTCAGCCTTACTCTGAGTAAAAGTCCAGATCCTTGTAATGACCTACATGGCCCTCAGTTATCTATCTTACTGTTACCTCTTTGGTCTTCTCTCTTCCCCATCACTTGTTCCACCATACAGAGCTGTTACCACCAGATAAAACGGCATGGCTCAAGTCCTCATCTCCTTCAGGTCTTTGCTCAAATATCAGCTCAGTGAATCTTTCCCTGGCCACCTTATTCAAAATAGCAATCTGGGACTTCCCTGGTGGTCCAGTGGCTGAGACTCTGTGCTTCCACTGCAGGGGGCACGGGTCTGATCCCTGGTTGGGGAAGCTCTGCATTGCCGCGTGGTGCGGCCAAAAATAATAAGATAGCAATCTGTTCCCCTGCCTCATTTCCCTTCTCTGCTTGATTTTTCTTTATAGCACTTTTTACCATCTGGCTTACTGTATATTGTACTTACCTACTGTCTTCCACTGTAATTAATGTAAGTTCTCTGAGGGCAGGGGTTTTATTTGGTTCATTGCTATATCCCTGTTCTACAGAACAGCCTGACACATAGTAGCCACTTACTAAGTAGCTGCTGAATGAAATGGTAGATGTTGGCCAGATGCAGTTACATTTATAAGGCTAATGTTGCAATATATATCTTCTCTATTCATCTCTTTCCTTAGGGAGACAATGGAGAAACCAGAAACAGTAACAGAGAAAATGCTATTATTGTGGACACTTAGAAGCAAAACAAGACAAAAGGTTTCTATTGAGTACCTACTTGTGTACCAGACATAGTACATCAAATAATTCCACAACAGTCCCATGCCTGTGAGGTCAGTATTCTGGCTCCCGTTTTACAGCTGAGGAAAGCAGCTTGTTTGAGTTCACACACAAAGGTCCCCCTGACTCCAAGGCCTGGGTTCTTCCTAATGCACCACACTCCACCTCCTTCCTGGGTTGGAGAACAACCAGGAGTAACTGGACCCAGCTGTGGAGCACAGCAGGCAAGATTTGTGTTTTTTTTTTTTTTTTTTACGCGGGCCTCTC